CCCCGTCCCCGCGCCTACCCCGCGCGAGGCGGTTTTCTCTCCTCCGACCAAAAAAAAAAACGCGAGTGACCCGCCCTCCGGGTCTGGGGTTTCGAGGGCAGCGGCTGCTCGGCGGGCGCCCCTCTTCCCGGGAAGCCCCTTCTGGAAGGAACCAGAGCGCGCGACTCCGCCCTGCGAGCTGTGGATTCCAAGCCGCCTGTTCGTCTGGGCACTGGCGCCCCAGGGCGGTCTGCCCCAACCCACCCGCGGGCGGCGCGCGGGGGTCCGGGGAGGCGGATGGTCTCGGGACGGAGCGAAAAGGGAGACTCGCGCCGGCCGAGGCTCGCGCTTGAGCGCGGTGCCAAGCAGACGGTCACCCAGGCCTACCTCTGCGGGGGGTTGCTGTTCACTAGATGGTGGCCCACCAGGGCTCGTTGGGACAGTCCCCACCGAGAAGCCCCCAGCCGAATTGGCTTCTCTTTTAAAGCACGTTGTTAATTGAAGGCGCCAAGGAACCAGAAATGTCTTCCCAACAACTGAGAAATCCAATGCTTCGTCTTGGAGACTTTTTGCTTATAAAAACAAACACAAACCTTTTAAGAGCAACCTAATCCAAGCTTTTACTTGCTTACAACGGAGTTGCTAGATAAAATACAGGATGCCAAGTTAAATTTGGATGTTAGGTAAACAAATATTTTTTTAGTGTAAGTATGTCCCAAATATTGCATGGGTCACACTTTTTAAAAAATGAAATACTTGGAATATACTAAATTATTTGTTGTTTATCTGGAGTTCAAATTTAATTGGGCATCTCGTATTTTTATTTGCTAAATCTGCAAGAAGCTTGAGTTAATGAATGGAAGCTGGCAAGCCATGCAACAAGTGGCAAATCTCCTGATGAGGAGCTCCTTTCTTTATTGGAAACAGATGGAGGTTTCTATGATAGCAAAAACTTTGTTCACATTAAAGACTGATTCATATATGTTGACTAGTATCTGCATTTCAAAATGCAATTGCCTGGGACAGATAGTGACACATTAATATTAAGTCCACGTGAAGGTAGTTTACTTTACCCGAGTCCTTTCCTTCTATTAGCTAGTGCTCCAAATGAAAGAAGAGATTTTATTTTGGCTGTTGTGGCTACTGCTACAATGAACGTAGGAGTACAGATATCTTTTTGAGATACTGATTTCATTCCCTTTGGTTATGCACCCAGTAGTGGCTGGATCTGTGGTAGTTCTATGTGTAATTTTTTGAAGAACCTCCATAGTGTTTTCTGTAACGGCTGTGCCAGTTTACATTCCCACCAACAGTGCACAAGGGTTCCCTTTTCTCCAATAACCGCGATAATGGAAACAAACTAAGCCGCGATAATGGAAACAAAGTGTCCATCCAGGGATGAATGGATAAAGAAAATGTGATATATAATTATATATCTATTATATATGCTCTATTATGTATATTATATATAATGGAATATTATTTAACCATAAAAAGGAAAGAAATCCTGCCCCTTGTGACTATAAAATATGAACCTGGAGGACGTTATCCTAAGTGAAATAAGTCAGACAAAGAAAGACAAATACTGTATGATCTCACTTATATGTGGAATCTAAAAAACTCAAACTCATAGAACCAGAGAGTAAACCAGTGGTTACCAGGAGCTGGGGGGGTGGGGGGGGTGGGGAAAATGGGGAGCTGTTGGTCAAAGGATATAAACTTTCAGTTATGAGTAAGTTCTGGGAATCGAATGTACAGCTTGGTGACTATAGTTAATAACACTATATTGTATACTTGAAATTTGCTGAGAGAGTAGATCTTAACTGTGCTTAAAAACACCAAAAAAGAAAAAGATAACTAGGTGAGGTGATGGATGTGTTAATTACCTTGATTGTGGTAATCACAATGTATACGCATACCAAGCCATCACACTGTGCACTTTATATACACTTTTGATGTGTCAATTATACCTCAATAAAGCTGGAGAAGAAAAGAAAAAGAAAGAAAGAAAAGAGTTTTATTAGTCCATTTTGGAGCACAGAATCTGCCCCTCCACATCACTGTAATACATTTTTTTCTGACAAGTTTTTGGCTACATTCCATTTAATTGCATTTTAATAGGACAACAATTTTGTAATCCTTTCTACAGAGAGAATAGAAAAGGTAACTGTCTTTTCTCTGGTATGTTGACTTGTTTTACATCATTGATAGTTTAGAAAATTGTCCCTAAGCTTTACCACTCGCTGTTGGTAATGTCGTGTGGATTCTTAGGATTGTTCTTAAATTTGGGGAAACTTCCAGCAAGTGTTTTTCACATCTGAGCTGTACTATTTGGAAGACTATTCCACAGACTAGCTTCTGGGTCCACTCACTTCAAATGTCACTTCTTTTTCACTAGCCACGCGCTCCTGGTGCCGGCACACTGTCGGACGCATTCATGTTGCAGCACAGTCTCTGGCCCTGTGCTTCTGGGTCACAGCAAAGGGTGAGGTGGCCCAGTAGGTGACAGGGGTATTCTTGGAAGTCATTCCTCCATGGGCATGGCTAGCAATTACTTAACAATACATGGAAATGACTGTAAGTCACATAAAAATACCCCACTAGGGGCCAGGGCGGTGGCATAGCAGTTAAGTGCGCACGCTCCCATGCAGCTGCCCCAGGGTTTGGATTCCGGGTGCGCAGCGATGCACTGCTTGTCAAGCCATGCTGTGGCTGTGTCCCATATAAAGTAGAAGACAGGCATGGATGTTAGCCCAGGGCAATTCTTCCTCAGCAAAAAGAGGACTGGCAACAGATGTTAGCTCAGGGCTGATCTTCCTCACACACACAAAAAAATTCCCCACTAAATCCAAACCAAATCTATCTCCAATTCAACTTACTTTTTGCTGGATCTTGAAAATGGCCATGGCCCTCAGCCACCTGACACAGGGGATGTGTGACAGAGGGGTGGTTGGAGAGGAAAGAGACAGTGATCTTAACTGATTCCAGTTAAAATATCTTAGTTTTAGAAATATTACAAAAACATATCACAAGTGAACCCATCGCTAGGGACCCTCCCCCTCCAGTGCCTTGGAAGAGGCTTGTGGAGTGAAGAGCTCTGCAGCTTGCACTAAATCAAGTTTGCTGACACCCAGATCCTCAGTAAATGCTGTCATTATTACTCCAGACTGTTCCCTGGCACAAGGTTCCTGCCCCTTTTGTAGCACTTACCGCACTATTCATTTGCACTCCTGTCTGGCTCTGGAGCTAGGTTATACATGCATGGGCGGGGGCCTGGTTTGATTGATCTTTGCTTCAGAGTGCCTAGCACAGTACCTGCTTCAAATTAGAGACTCAGTCAACGACGAATAAATGAAATTATGCTAATGGAAGGGAAGAGATATTGCAAGAGCAACTTATAACAGATGCAACTGGGGACAAGTCCAGGAGCTGTGGATGCAGACAGGAGGGATAACAAGATGCAGAGACAGGAAGTGCTATGTCAGGAGCTCCAGGGCAAGGATCAGAGAGCTCAGGACTGGAGAGATGCAAAACGGACAGGAAGGGCCTTTAAAACAACCCGTGTGCTTCCATTTACGTAAGCTGTCCAGAAAAGGCAAACCTATAGAGACAGAAAGTCGATTAGTCACTGCTCGGGGCTGGAGGTGGAATTGGGATTGACACAGATGAGCAAGAGGAATCTTTTTGGGGTGACGGAAATGTTCTAAATTGGATTGTGGTGATTGTTCTATAAGTCTGTAAATTTGCTAAAAAGCATTTGTATACTTTAAACAAGTGAAATCTATGGTATGTAAATTATACCTCAATAAAGCTATTTATATATTTTTTTTCCTGAAAAGGCAGATCAGAGATTCAATGTGAAAAGGCTGTATATGTAAGCGCCATTTATGAATGAGCTCACATGGAGTAATTGTTCTGTGCCACCAAGATTTCCATACTCGTAGTGAACTTTGTTGTGCACCAAAAAGATCTCTGTGTGCTGAGCTGTGGTGTGCACAGAGCAGCCCCAGGAGGCCCTTTCCATCTGCAGGGACCAGAGAGGTTCTCTCACAGTGGTTTGCTGACCCCCCCAAGTTACCAGGAGCATGTGGCTAGTGAAAAAGAAATGACATTTGAAATGAATTGGCCCAGAAGCTAGTCTGTGGAATATTCTCCCAAATAGTACGGCTCAGATGTGAAAAATATTAGATGGAAGTTTTCCCAAATTTAAGAACAATCCTAAGAATTGACACGACATTACCAATAGCGAGTGGTAAAGCTTAGAGACACTCTTCTAAACTATCAATGACGTAAAACAAATCAACATGCCAGAGAAGAGACAGTTACCTTTTCTATTCTCTCTACAGAAAGGATTATAAAATTGTTGTCTTATGAAAAGGCAATTAAAGAGAATGTAGCCAAAAAACTGTCAGAAAAAAAGTATTACAGTGATGTGGAGGGGCAACTAATTTTTAAAAATATTTTATTTTTCTAGGTGTTGTGCATTTAAAAAATCTGTTATTTGACATTTTCTCACTCTAGTCATTACCTTGCCAATTTTGTATTCCAGATGTTTTATTATTTTTCTTAAAGAGGGTCTCCCAAGTTATATAAACATCAGGCTCTGCAAAACCTGGCTGTGCCCCGTGGGTCCAGCACAAGCGCTCTGTGTTGTCCTGTTCAGTCATTACAAAACCCTAGTGGGGTAAGTACTGTTACAGCTCCCTGTTACAGACGAGCAAACTGGGGCTTAGTAGCATGAGTAACTTATCTAAGGCCATGGAGTCAGAATTCAAGCCTGGACTCGTATAACTACGTGTAACTATTGTGTAAGTAGGACTCCACGATCTTTGACTCCAAGTCCCCAAGATAACCTTGACCTTCCGTTGCCTGTCTCTTCTGACATCACCGACCCACCTGACCTTCCCATAGCCACAGCTAGGATTAGGGTGCAGAGAAGTGAGGTGAGTCGCTGTGCAGGCTCAAATCCTATCGTCATCTAAGATCTTGATAGTCTGTTCATCATGGATTTTTTGGCATTAATTTTGATTTTTAAAAATATTACATTAGGGGCCAGCCCCGTGGCTTAGCGGTTAAGTGTGTGCGCTCCGCTGCTGGCGGCCCGGGTTCGGATCCTGGGCGCGCACCGACGCACCGCTTCTCCGGCCATGCTGAGGCAGCGTCCCACATACAGCAGCTAGAAGGATGTGCAACTATGACATACAACTATGTACTGGGGTTTTAGGGGAAAATAAATAAATAAATAAAATTATAAAAAAAAAAATTACATTAAAATATTTTTTATCTTAATGACTGAGTTTTTGGTGCCCTTTAAATTTGTGCCCCTCATCTTAGCCCCATGTCATCTCCTTAATGAGGATGTCAACATTCAGATTTGTGCTTTAAGGGTCGGCCCCCAAGTTCATCCATTGTCATTCATACAGCCTGCCTTGGCAGACACTATTCACTCATGTCCTCAAACTACCTTCCATTCTCAAGACTCAGTTTTTCACAGATAAGCTGACCACTAATGATACTGGATTATCTAGTGATGGTATTGCTTGCCCGCCACGGGCAAAGGGTCCAGCCTCAG